AGGAAGCTGCGGCGTGACAAGGTCGTGGCAGCGTGCCCGCCTACAGGGGGCCAGCCGCGAACGTGCCTCCTCTACCGCATCTGCCTCCCATAATCCTCCTCTGCTTCTACGCTGCACTTCACCTGTTACGTCTTGCACTCATGCGTCTCACGCTTCTACGCTGGGGTCGGTTTTTGGAAGATCTGTGAGAGATTTGAAAGCTCGTTCCGAGAACCAATCTGTTTCTCACGTGCAGTGGGTAATTTCGCGTCTGCCTGTCACATTCTTAGGTCCGCAGCTGCAGTATTATTATCAAATTTGAGCACCGAAACGCCGCAAACGGCACATTTGAGTACCGAAACGCCGCAAAGTTTGAGCACGGAAACGCCGCAAAGAGCAAATTTGAGCACCGAAACTCCGGAAACAGCACATTTGAGGACCGAAACGCAGCAGAACCTCAAAGAAATCATGGCCCTGCGCTTCTGCGCTGCTCCCAGGCGGGCCCCAAAAAGGCGCACAGCGGCCGCGCGCTCTTCCTCCGTCCCTGCTCCGGCGGCGCCCGGCGGCGAGGGTGGCGCGAGGGGGGGGGGCTCCTGAGAAGGGGGCCTTGGCATCGCTCGGGCGTGTGTCTTTTTCCTTCGGCGAGGACCATCGAGGAGCATCCTTGATCATTTGGCGAAAAAAAAACACGCACGAAACCAACCAAAAGACAGGGAATGGACGTCCGATCGATGGCCAGGGGGGGGGGGGATTCCGAGGATTGAGGGCCCTTCGTAGCACGACCCCGCGGCTTCTGAGATTTTAGTCGGCCATGCCCCGCTACGGGACGCATGCTCGAGGACCTTCAGGAACCTAGTCGGGGGACGAGGCTTCGTGCTCCTGGTGCTGTGTTTGAACATGCTCGGCTCTGCTCTAGTTCCCGTCCAGGGCCCGCCTGTGGGAGGACATGCCCGACCTAAGAGAAGGCAGGGGGGGGGGCTTCTGAGAAGGCAGGGTCCTTCACAGAGTGACCCCGCGCGGCTCCCAAGACGGCCTCCCAGAGGCCGCCGGGCCCCTCCAAGAAGTGGACCCTGCCCTCTAAGAAGCCCCCCCCGCCCCATACCGTCTCGGGTGCAGGCCGCCCCCTCGCGCCTCCCCCGGCGGTTTGCGCCGCCAGCCGTCTCGTGGCCCCCTCTGGGGACTCGCACCCGAGCGCGCACAGCGCACACCCGACTCACACCCGAGCGCACAGAAGCGGAGCTGCAGCCAACGCGCACAGCAAGGACGGGGGGAGCTTTCCCAAGGCCACCCCGGGATTCCCTGCCTCCTCGGTCCATTCTTGGCCACTCTCCGTGACCGCGCCCCGCTCGAGAAGTTTCACACAGCGGCGTCCAAGGCCCCGGCATCCTCGTCGCGCATCCTTGCTACACTGGCTGGGCGCCCTCCCCGTGGTGGGCGCCGCCAGCCGTTCCGTTGACTGCCCTCCGTTGGCTCACGCCTGTGGGTCGAAGCGGAGCCAGGCTGAAGTCGGGCCTGTCCCTCTACAGGCGGGATACTCGAGAAGAATCACAAGAAATAGTCTGGGGACGATTTTTCGACTACTGTTGACCATTTTTGAATCTGCGTTGGCTATGCTTCATTTTCCTTCCAGCATCCGCCTGTGACCTCTGCGAAGCCGCTGGACATGTCACCCAGGAGGTCCTGCCACGCCGTGCGGCGCGCGTGGGTGTGGCGGCAGGCATCCAGCGGCAGCACCCCGCACGTCCGCAGGGGCTCGCCTGCACTTGCCGCGTACCCAGGCTTGCTCGCGTCGTGAATAAAGCATGGCGAAAGATGCTTTTCAGTTGTCTGCCGTTGGTGGCCTTCGGCGGGCCCCGGGACGGTCAGTCGCGTTTTCCGGCAGTTAGCATTGAATCCGCTTGGCTAAATCGTTGAGCGCGCTCCACTGCTCGCAGAGCGCCTACTCGCAAACGTCCGAGCAAGTCATGTCTGCTTCGATGTCATGTATCGTAGGTCCCCGCGGCGGATCCAGGCCTTTTGCGAGTAGTTACTCTGCGAGTAGTGGAACGCGCTCGTCTACTAAAGGACCCAACAATGTGCAATTGCGAGTACTGCGGGACGGGTGGAATCTAAGGATGGGGGCTAGCAGAAGGGCGTGCGTGAGAAGGACGGGGCGACGTTGCTGATGGGGTCGCAGAGACCAGCCGTGACAGGTTACGGACGACCGTACATTTAAGTCGGGTGAGGAACATGCAACAATAGTAGAAACATAGTCTGGGAACCATGGTTGACGATGTTTGACTCTGTCTGAGTATTTGTTGGCTCTGTTTGATTTCTTCCAAAATCTCGCCTGCAGGAGAACGTGCCCGACCAGAGTGGACTGTTCTGCGGCTGATCTGCGCGTCTGCCGAGGCGGTCTCGGGGAGTAGCAGGCGGCCAGCCAGGCTCTCGGTGGGGCCCCCGGCACGGGACCACGAGACACGCGAGGGGGGGGGGTCCGATGTGGACGCGGTCGCGCACGCGATTCCCGCCATTGGGGCCTTCGATAGCCAGGATGGGGAAGGACACAGACACCATGAATCGTCGATTCCCTGGCACACATCGGAGAAGAGGGGACGCGGGGGGGCAGACGAACATCCAGAAAATATGGACACAGAAAGGGAATCCTGGGACTTGTGTAAATTTATGTGTGTGTCCCTGGGCCCCTTGATATAGAGCTGCCTACGGGTCCACCAAGTCTGTGAGGGGTGTGCCGAATTGGGTACGGTCACGCATGCGGTTCCTGCCACTTCGGCCTTTGGAGGAGCTTGTTATGGGGCAACGACACGTGTGAGGTGCGTGCCGACATGGGCGCGGCTACGCATGCGATTCTTGCCATTGAGGCCTTCGGTGCAGCTCTTTGTCGGGCCACGTCGCGTGTGAGGGGCGTGCCGACATGGGCGCTGTCGCGCATGCGATTCCTGCCTGCCACTTGGGCCTTCGGTTGAGTTCCCCATGGGGGCACGACGCGTGTGAGGGGTGTGCCGACAGGCGCGGTCACGCATGCGGTTCCTGCCACTGGGGCATTCGGTGGAGCTTCCCATCGGGCCACGACGCGTGTGAGGGGTGTGCCGAATCGGGCACGGTCACGCATGCGATTCCTGCCGCTGGGGCCCGTCAGTGGAGCTCCCCATGGGGCCACGACGTGTGTGAGGGGCACGGTTACGCATGCGATTCTTGCCATCGGGCCTTTGGGGGAGCTCCCCGTGGGTCCACGACACGTGTGAGAGGTTCGCCGAAATAGGCGCGGCACGAATCCGATTCCTGCCAGTGTGGCCTTCGGGAGCTTCCATTGGCGCCACGAATTGTGTAATGTACTTGCCGACATGTAATTGAGTTGATGATGATGCGGATGCTGCTGATGGTGATTGTGGCAATGACGTCGATGAAGATGAGGATGAGGATGACGATGAGAATGAGGAGAGAGGAGGGGGAGGAGACAGGAAGGAGGGATGCTGGGCGGGGCGGGGGAACAAAAAAAAGACAGTGGATCTCTGGGGCACAGCCCCGCGGAGCGCCCCATCGGCGGGCGGCTCCGAGAGCCTCGGCGCCAGGGCACGGGCGCCGGAAGTGTCTTGTCGCAGCCAGCCTCGGAAGGCCAGCGCGCGCGAGGGAATCGCCGGATCCGGGGCGCCGGGCACTGTGCAGGAGCGCCCGGTGTCCGGCCCATGGTGCATCTCACGGAGGCGGTGCACAGCGAGAATCGAGAGCCCAAGTACCGGGACTATCGAGATTTGCACGGAAATGTCGGGGACGTATATACGCAGATTGACAGCATGTCTTGTTCGTGCTGAACAGGGTTCGCTGTCGGTGTCGCCGCAGACGTTGCCCGTTTGAGACAGAAGGCCGCCTGCCCCACAGCGGCTGCTGTCGCTGGTGGGCAACCTTTGTTGTTGGGTTTCGTGCCCATTTTTCCATACCCATCTCGGGCGTCCAAGACATGGGCACGGGCTGTTTGCCATTCGAGCCTTGAGTCAACATGGCTACGGAGAGATCAAGACGTTGAAAGAAGGGGTCTCGTGAGCAGTTTCGGCGCGACGCCGCTTCCATGGCCGGCCCGCGGGGTCGCTGTGAGCCTACCAGTGTCGTGGTGCACACGTTTCGCGATCTAGGCACGAGCGCGACGGCGCCAGCGGGAGCACGAGAGGACGAGGGAGGAGGGCGAGGACGACGGCGGAGGACGGAGGCTCGGGCGGGGCTGCACCTGCCCGAACAAAAATGAGCACGCAGTGCATGTCGTGCCGAGACATCGTCCAGAGGACTTCCCTGCGGGTAGTTTTTGATCCCAGGTCCGTTTCGGATTGCCCCCGGGCCCGGAAACGGCCCCGGGAGGCCCAAAATCGGGGGCGGAAACGAGGGGGGTGATGACTAGGGGGGGGGGGATATCATGGCGGGGGCCATGATATTTCCCCAGATCTCATGGCGCCTCTTCTTATTTCATTACGTCCCTGGCCCCCCCGCTGGGCCGCGCACATGCCGCCGGTCATGATTTGCACCCCCCCCTCTTGGACACCCCCCTCTTGGCCGCTCCCGACAAAACGAGGAACAAACAAGGGCGACGAAAACCCAGAAATCAACGAGTTGACCTGCACGTTTCCCTTTGCGCAGCGCAGGACTGGGATCCATCGTTCCAGAGAAGTCTGGAACGCTCTCAGAGCGCTCCGGAGCTCTCTGGGGCGGCGGCCGCGGCGCCCGATACATCCTGCAGAACGGGCGGGTCTCAGAGATCCCCGATGTTTGTCCCGCTTCGGTTTTGGCTCAGTCTTGGCTTCGTCTTCGCGCAGGGAGGAGAGGAGGAGAAGGGGAGGAGGCGGAGGAAGAGGAGGACGGAGGCGACCCTCGACGACGACGATGCGAACGAACGACGGCGACGACGGCGACGACGACGACGACGACGACGACTGTCGCCGCGAAGCCCAGAGGTGGCGGCGCAGTGGCGCCTGGCGGCCGGCGCCGACGTGCTGGCCGGCCCCCACGGCGCGGGGCTGGCGTGGGGCGCCTTCATGGCGGAGGGGCGCGTGCTGGTGGAGCCCTCCCCCCCCCCCCTAGGAGGAGGAGGAGGAGGAGGAGGAGGAGGAGGAGGAGAGGAGGAGGAGGAGGAGGGAGAGAGGAGGAGGAAGGTCGAGGAGGAGAGGAGGAGGAGGTCGAGGAGGAGGAGGAGGAGGAGGAGGACGAGGAGGAAAGGGGGAGGTAGGAGGAGGAGGGGGAGTAGGAGGAGGAGGAGGAGGAGGAGGAGGACCAGTGTAAACCCAAGAGTCATCAACGATGTTGGAATTAATCCTCCCTCCAAGCTACCTCTTCATAGGCCCCTACAACGGTTCATTTCCATTGAAAGAACTGCCTCGTTGGAAGACAACCGTTTGAAGACCCTGAAGCATGCCAAAAAAATGTTCTCGGGTTTCCAACGCCGCGTACCGACCTGACTGTTGGGTCTTGTGGAGTCGTGCCAGAGCGCCACTCTTGTCAACACAATCGTTGCACCCGCGTAATCCTGAATCCTTCCATAACGTTATTTCTGGTACGCTGACTATGGGAAGATGTGAAACTCATGCAAATGTTTCACACGAATGTGCGCGGCGAAAAGGCGAGCGCCACATATTCTGAAAAGGAACCGCCCTCAATCTGTGAATATCTTGCAATTGTTTAACCGAATGTGCGCTGCGCTTGAGGCGAGAGCCACATTTTGGAAACCACCCGCCCTCACCCCGTGAACTTTTTACAAAGGTTGAGAACGAAAATTGCGCGGCGCTAAGGCGAGAGCCACATTTTGAAAACCACACGCCCTCAATCCGTGAAACTCTTGCACATGTTGAAAACGAATGTGCGCGGCGCTAGGACGAGAGCCACATTTTTAACTCCCCGCCCTCTATCTGTGAAACTGTTGTCACCTTTTCAGCTCCAGAGTCATAAGTGGTCAGGAATTCTCAGGCGAAGCGCCCGGCTCGCCCTAAAAATTGGCCTCGGGGTGCGACAGGGGGAAGTTATGTATAAGGAGAAGGAATGGAGGAGGAGGAGGAGGAGGAGGAGGAGGAGGAGGAGGAGAAGGAGGAGGAGGAGGAGGAGGAGGAGGAGGAATACGATGTAGAGGAGCCAGGGGCGAGGATGGGGGATCGAAAAAGCAGCACAAGCATGATGGGCCATTGTTCCACCACCGCTGCCATATGTAGGACGGGGGAGCAAGAAGAACGTGGAGGTCCTCTCCTCCTCCTCCTCCTCCTCTTTCTCCTCCCTCTCCTACCCATGGCAGTGGTTGTGGAAACTCCACCCAGGCAAGCATAGACCTTCGGAGCTTCGCGCGGGTGTCTTGGATCAGCGCTGGGCCCCCCCTGGCGGAGCATCCGGCGCCGCCTCTGGCGCGCTCCGCGCTCCAGAGAGGGGGGGGGGTCCAGCGCCGATCCAAGAATTCCGCGCGGAGCTCGGACAGTTCCTTTGCACGCCGATTCTTTTTCTCTAACGAGGGTCAGGTTGTAGGCTCAGGTTCGAGGTTCGAGATATTTGGAGTTAGGAGTTCGGATGCAGCCAGGAGGTGTTTCAGATTCGGCGCTGGTGTATCACTGGTCGAAAACTTGCTTAATCTAGCTTGATCCCGCTTCATCCGGCTTCATGCCTCTTGAGCGGATTTCTAATCCCATTCAATCCCTTCCACTCTCGGGATTGAGGCCTCTTCCGGCCCAATGGCCCTGGCAGACCCATGAGTTGCGGTTCAGGGGATGGGCTCCGGTTCGAGGTTCGAGGTCGGGCCGGTTCCGTCGGTCCTCGGCGGCTTTCCAGCCTCCGGACGCGCGTTCCGGCAGGTGCGTCTCGCCGAGAGCATCCTGGGGGGTGCCTGGATCGTCCCGAACGGCCTCCAGAGAGCCGATCTGCGACCCGAGGAGCCAGGGCCAATGACAGGGGAGGGCAGGATTGCAAAAAAACCCAGGATTACAAAAAAGCCCAGGATTGCAATCCTTTTTGCAATCCTTCGTTTTTTTGCAATCCTTCGTTTTTTTGCAATCCTTCGTTCGAGGGGGGGCGCATCGACCCCCAATCGCGCACTCGTCGCCGACGTCGGGGGGGGCCCGACGGCACGCCCCGCCCAGGAGCGCTCGGAGTCGCTGTCGGGGCCCATCGCCGATCTGTCGGCGATGTATCGCCGCTTCCAGCTCAAGGTTTGCCCCTCTGAGCCAATCCCCTTTTAACTTCGCCCCTCAGGGGAGGATCGAGTATGCAGGAGAATCGAGGATCTCAGAAGATAGAACATACAGATCGGAGGTTGGGGGGTGAGATCGCAGTGGAACGGAGACCCCCAACCGGGAAATCGTTTCGTTTCGTTCGTGTCGTGCGTGCGGGCGAGGCGAAGCTGCGTGGGCGCTTGAGAAGAATGAACCCGCCGCTGCTAGGGCGAAGTCAGGACAACTGATTATCCTCCGCCTGCCCGTCCGGCGGTGGCTCGCGGTGTCCCGCGGTGTCCCGTGGTGTCCCGTGGTGTCCCGTGGTGTACCGTGATGTCCCGTGGTGTCCCGTTGAGTGAGATCGATAGTGAGATCGATAGTGAGATCGATGTTGAGATCGATAGTAAGATCGATGTGGTGCCCCGAGGTGTCCCGTGGTGTCCCAACAACTGGAATCGATAGTGAGACTGATAGTGGGATCGACAGGTGTCCAGTGGTGGCCCGTGGTGGCCCGTTGAGTCAGATCGATAGTGAGATCGATATTGAGATCGTTGTGGTGCCCCGAGGTGTCCCGTGGTGTCCCAAAAAGTGTAATCGATGGTGAGATCGATAGTGAGATCGAAAGGTGTATCGTTGTGGCCCGTGGTGTCCCGTGGTGTCCCGTTGAGTGAGATCGATAGTGAGATCGATAGTGAGATCGATTTGGTGTCCCGTGGTGTCCCGTGGTCTCAGATGGTGTCCCGTTGAGTGAGATCGATAGTGAGTCGATAGTGAGACAGATAGTGTGTGGCCCGCGTTGTCCCTCGGTGTCCCGTGGTGGCCCGTGGTGTCTAGTGGTGTCTTTTTAGGGAGATCGATAGTGCGATCGATACTGAGATCGACAAGTGTCCCGTGTTGTCCCGTGGTATCCCGTGGTGTCCTGTGGTGTCCCGTTGAGTGAGATCGATAGTGAGATCGATTAAGTCAGATGTTGGTTCCCCCCCTCTCCGTCCCCCCCACAGCCTCTTTATCACCCGAAGGTTGGTCGTATAGGTAATATTACGACCCCCTCGTGTCTACGGCTGGGATCGCCCCGAGATCCTGATCCTCCCAGCCCCCGCAGGATGAAGGTTGAGGAACTTGTGTGGCATCTTCGGTGGACTTTGTCTGTCATGCAAAATGCGGTCTTTTCCGTCGTCCAGCGTAGGCTCGACTCGATTTCGGTTTCTCTCTCGACACGGTCTCGACGCGTTTGACATAGATGTAAGGATGAAAGTCTGGAGACGATTTTTTGTAGTATTTTTGAAGATTTGGGGAGCATGTTTGGATCATCTTTAATTTTTCGCCCAAAATCGGCCTAAACATAGATTCGACGCGAATTCGACACGGATAGCTGGAGCAACGGGGCAGGTCTCCCAAAGACGAAACACATTCTTTCCCAGGAGGAGGATCGAGGGTCGAGTTTCTGGGACGTCTGTTTTTACAGTCCTATGTAGGGGCCTGTCCCTCTACAGGAGGAATATTGTCAAATAGACAAAAAATTGT